GAGCTCCTACCAAACCCTAACACCTTACCCATGGCTGCAGCTCCTCTCAGGATGTTTGGGCACTGTCATGTGTTTAGCCATGGCCACATGCTCTGAGGTGCTCTGGCATGACCCCAGGCACAGTCTCTGATGCTTCCAGGTGTACCTGCTGCACCACGGACTTATCCACTTCAAGCTTACCTTCTCCATAAAATTATCCATGGGCCACAGTCCCTTCACAGGCATGAACATAACCATAGGCACAGATGGTTTGAGGTGTACCTGCTCTGTCATGGGCTTTTTCACAGCCATTGATGCTCTTTGGGGTGTCCTGCTCCCATGTGGATTCTTTCACAGGTCATAGTTCCTTCGACTTGAGTTCACACTGGAATTCAGCCTGTCCAGTGCTGCAGCACAGACACAGCAGTGACGCCCTGGCTGTCAGCCAGCCCAGGTGTATCACCACTGCTGTCATCAGTGTTCCCAGGCACAGCACAGTGAGATAAGCACCACAGCAAGCACCAAAATCAAAACAGTTTAATAGGTAAAGGAAAAGCTGTGCAAACAGACAAAGCAAAATAAGGAATCCATTCCCCACTTCCCGTGGGCAGGCAGGTGTTCAACCATCTCCAGGAGAGCAGGGACTCTGGACTGCCTGAGGAGGTGGTGGATTCACCATCCCTGGAGATTTTCAGGAAGAGACTGGATGTGGCACTTGATGTCATGGTCTAGTAACCATGGTAGGGTTGGACTTGATGATCTTTGAGGCCTCTTCCAACCAGGTTGATTCTATGATTCTATGACTCATTATGGTAACTTGGAAAGACAAATGCCACTGCTCTGAACATCCCTCCCTTCCTTCTCCCCCCAGATTTATATGCTGAGCATGATGCCACATGGCATGGGATATCCTTTGGGTCAGTTAGGGTCAGCTGCCTGTGTCATCCCTGGAGATTTTCAGGAAGAGACTGGATGTGGCACTTGATGTCATGGTCTAGTAACCATGGTAGGGTTGGACTTGATGATCTTTGAGGCCTCTTCCAACCAGGTTGATTCTATGATTCTATGACTCATTATGGTAACTTGGAAAGACAAATGCCACTGCTCTGAACATCCCTCCCTTCCTTCTCCCCCCAGATTTATATGCTGAGCATGATGCCACATGGCATGGGATATCCTTTGGGTCAGTTAGGGTCAGCTGTCCTGCCTGTGTCCTCTCCCAGCTTCTTGTGCACTTGCTAGTGGGGTGGGGTGAGATGCAGAAAAGGTCTTGATGCTGTGCAAGCACTGCTCAGCAATAATGAAAACATCCCTGTGTTACTAACACTGTCCCAGCACAAATCCAAAACTAGTCCCATACCAGATACTATGAAGAAAATCAACTCTACCCGAGCCCAAACCAGCACAGCTCAGTCAGTACCTTCACAAAGCAAGTTTGGTTTCAGTATCAAAACAACACTCAGTACTGGTCAGGTACCATATTCTCAGGTGCTGAGAATGTAACTTTGAAGCTACACTAATTTATACCAGTTTTCACAAACATTTGTTTTAGATTATCATAATCATTTAAGATCAGCTTCTCCAGTTCAGTATTTCCCCATCTCTTCAAAAGCAACAAACAATAAAATCTCCTTTGGGGTTGTTACTGACTACAGATTCTGACTGTCACAAGCAACTACATCATACAACTTCTTTAATAAAGAGATCACATAACTATTTTCCTCCTCTCTTAAATCACTGGAAGCTAGCTGCAGACCCCTGCTACTCTGAAGGGTAAGGCCACCAGCTTTGGGAGATTTGAAGAGTCTCAATACATGCAACTTTTCTTCAGCACTAAGTTAATTTGAAGGTGGAGAAAGCAGGGGGAGAATTCCAGGTAAAAGAGTCTTCTAAAAAAGCAGGGCATTTCAGTGCCTTACTTCATTTATTTTAAACACAGCACTCCTGCATGTTCCCTCAGTACAGCAAGGATTATTGTCCATCCTCCTTTTCTCCTTCAGAACACTATGGGTGATCTTCAAACCAAGTCTTTCTGTTATGTGGGAATAAACTCTATTCACCTCCAAAGAAAAGCTTCTTTTTTCTTTCCCCTGGATTCTGTGTTAGCCTTAAAACACTCCTGGTAGGAGCCTGTAAGGCACTGCAGCAGTGTAGTGCTTCCAGTCCTTCCCATACTTGCTGAAACAACGGTGCTCGTCCCTAAGGCACCGGTGGATGAGCAGAATAGTCATATAAATGATGTAGAAGTAAGGCAAGATGTGTTCAAAGCCACATGCCAGGCAGTAGGCCAGTGAGCCCATGAGGTCTCCTGTGTAGTTAAAATGACGTGCCCACCCCCAAAACCCTGAGGTCAGCAGTTTGCTGTAGTACTTGGTCCCATCCACAGACATGTAGGAGCACTCGATGTATTCTGGTTTCTTCCCCCAGATCTTGCAGTTGCCATTTGTACGACGGAAAAGGTCCTTCTGGTGGTTGGTCATTCTGAAGATGTAATAGCCAACCAAGCCCAACATCAGGATCCCAATGGCATTGGCTGTGCACAGCTGGACAGGGTGGTAAACCAAATACAGACCCTGGGGAGCAGAAAAACAATCAGTGATTCGCTCAAAATACATGCTGAGGATGTCACACCAATGACTTGACTACAGTGACCTGGACAGACAGTAAGAAAGAATATCAAAATCCACTCTACCAGTAAAACCATGAAAAATGTTTGGAAGACTCTGCATCCTACATTTTCCTTCTCTCTCTGTCCAAAATTGCACTTTGTAGGTGGAACAAGAAGAAAAGAGAAGTTGCAAGGATGCAAACAAATCAGGACAGAAGGAAAAAAACCACACAACAAAATCCAAACAAACCACCACTGAAGACTCTCCACATGCAGGAGTACAAAAAGAGACTGAAAGGGTTTAGAAAAATGTACAGACACAATAGACAGTGACAGAAAAAGGCACAAAAGAAGGGGAGGGAGAAGGTGTCAGTTCCATGCACTGATAGTAAGCCTTCCTACATAAGAATTGTTACAAAGGATGTTGCAATGATTTCTCAACATTAAAACTGTTTAGAGACAAATTAAGATACAAATTAAAACTGCTTGGGAGAATGTTTCTGGCAAGTTTGTTTCTGTTTAGCCCAAATACATATTGCACATGCTTTTACCTGCAAAGTATAGAGGTAAGGCAGCCAAACACAATCTCCCCAGCCCAAATACCATCCAAAATGATCATGGCAGATATCAATGGTTTTCAAATACCAGGCTTCATTCCAGAAGAAGTCCAAAACATAAATACCCTGCAACAGAATAATTTCACATTAATGACAGAGCACTATCACCAGTTATCCCATTTTAACAGTAGCAGAGGCTCAGAAAAGCATTTCTTCATATTGAAATCTGCTGGTACAGAGATGACCAAGCCACTGGTGGCACTCTGAGGGAACACAGCAGAGTGTTTACAGTTCATTCTGAATGAATACAAGTGTCCAAAGAAGCAAGTCCTAGTATATCATCACTGAATGAGGTTGTTCAGGCCACAAAAAACTGTCCAAGTTTCATTTTCATGGAAGGAGTTTTTTTCCTACTTTAATACTAGATTATTTCCAATTTGGTTTCTCAGTTTCCTCCCCTGAATTTACCTGCAGGACATTGACAAGGATCATGGAGTTAGTCACTTGACCATACAGCTCCTGTTGTTTAGCAGCATAGGAAAGGTTAATCAGAGTCCAGGCTACAATCCCAGGGCGTCCATTGAAGAACAGCTTGAAATCAAACCACTTTCCAATTCGAGGGTTAAATTCAATCCCCATCATGTAGTCATAGAAGAAGTTGCCAGTGAATTTGCTGGAAAGCAGAAAAAACTTAGAAATGTACAGTTATACACAAATACAGGTAATTGCTATTCTGACTACACATTTCAGATTAATTGCATGTGATGATAATAAAAATCATAAAACCATGTAATGTTGAGCAAGATAACACAAATTGATCCAACTGAAGCATTACATTAATAAAGATAAATTTTAGAATTTCAAAGTGCCCTAGTTGACCCTTGGTAACACTTCTGAACAGTGTAACTGTAACTGTGTGCAGTTCTGGGCCCCTCAGCTCAGGAGGGACATTGAGGTGCTGGAGCAGGTCCAGAGAAGAACAACGAGGTTTGTGATGGGACTGGAGCACAAGTGCCATGAGGAGAGGCTGAGGGAGCTGGGGGTGTTCAGCCTGGAGAAGAGGAGGCTCAGGGGAGACCTTATCACCCTCTGCACCTCTCTGACAGGAGGCTGGAGTCAGGTGGGGGTTGGTCTCTTCTCCCAGGCAACCAGCAGCAGCACAAGAGGGCACAGACTCAAGCTCTGCCAGGGGAGGGTTAAGTTAGATATTAGGCAGAGAGTTTTTACAGAGTGCTCAGGCATTGGAATGTGCTGCCCAGGGAGGTGGTGGATTCACCATTCCTGGAGGTTTTCAAGCTGAGACTGGATGTGGCACTTAGTGCCATGGTCTAGTAACCACGGTAGGGTTGGACTCCATGATCCTTGATGTCTCTTCCAACCAGGTTGATTCTATGATTTATTTATAGGGTGACTGTATCTGTGACACTAAGGCTGCAGTCACATGGAGTGTAGCATGAAACATAGAGGATGGTGCTAATGAAGCACCACAGACACACATTGGCTTATCCATCTATGCCAGTACAATATATTCTGTCATTCCATTTAGATGCCCCATTACCTAATATTCTCTCATTACTAAAATTCACATACCAGTCTTTGGCATTGGTAGGGAAAAGGTAGCCTTTAATCATTGCAAACGTGGAAACTGCATATCCCAGGATATTGGCACACCACAGGAGAGGAATCCAGTTGTCAAAAATGATGGTGGGTGAGAAGAAGTGAAAGTAATAAGCATTTGCAAACCAAAGCACATGGGTAATGATCCAAGCCTGCAGTCCATTGATTTCATATTTATTCACTGCACCTAAAATAGGAACAAAAATTGAGTGTTAGTGACACTGCATTAATACAGCTTTTCATTAATATGGATATGCACAGAATATATAGAAGCTCAGTCAAGTGCTCATGAAATGACCTCACTCTCCTCCTCCTCCCAACTAAATACCTCGAGGCACTTTCTCAATGTTACATTAGACTCTGCTGTAACCATTAGGCTTTGTTAGGCTGAGTTTTTCCCTTCACAGTACTGAATTTAGAATTCCCCCAAAACTTAACTAAAGTAACAAGTGAGCCTTTCTAACACTGAGTTCACGACATGCATTTTGTTCAATTCTCTTGGATTAACTTAGCTTCAGAAGGTACAACTGCACTGTCAGATACCAGCAATAGTCCACTGCCTTTTTCAAGTGCCCAAACTATCCATCTGTACTTTTCCATTGCTGGTGTGGTGCCTGCCATAGCAACAGTTTTACTAACAGTAAGAGAGAGATATTCTATAGTTTATGCTAAAAGAGGACATAGATTGCTATTTTTGCTTAAAGTGAGCATAGGGGGAAGGTAAGGGGAGCTGTCCACATTTCCTCCCACTACACATGGATTATTAAAGACTGTAAATACAGAAATACTGTAATTTTAGAAGATTGTTTGGTGTGCATATATTCTAGGGAAGACCTTACCAGCAGGGGTGACAGCTCCTTCTTGCACACCTCCCACATATCCAGGAAAAAATTTATGGCAGAAGTCAGGAACAAACACATACAAAACCACCTAGAAGAGAGAGAATGTATTAACAGCAAATCCAGACAAGACAAAACCCCTCAAACCAATATCCCTTTATACATATATCAAATACAGCACACCCTGCAGTTTCTATTAAGTACTGGATAAGGAAATATGGCAATATTTAGCTGTTGTGATTTTAGACTACTAACATATCCAAGGTATTTGAAATTTTAAAAGGTGTACTCCATGTAAGGTTGTCATCCTTTTTGGTGGGGAGGCAGGACAGCTGGTAACTACATTCAAGTCCTGATCCTTTTATTCTGGAATTAATGTGTGTTTTAAGCAAGCTCTTTTCCAATTAGGAAAAAAAATGGAGTGGTTTGGTGAGTTTGATGATATTTTACAAATCTAAGTGATACTTCCTATGTCAGTGTTGTTTTACTGCCTATATCAGCTCTTCAGCAGTGTTAGCTTATGATGTATTTGCTGTGCATGAATTTAAAATGAATGGGTATTGTTGTTATAGAGTTGTTTTTTCTTAAGAACCTCATCAAGGAATTATGTCACACAAGGAATATTTGTGTACATACTTATTTTTCAAGTACATAAGTTTCATTTGGATTCCAAAAAGCCATGGAAAGTGAGAAACACCAAAGAGTAAATGCCAGTGAAACATTCCAATATCCTTTGTGTGAAAGGATTCATGGAACAGCTGTTTGAAAAAACAGACACCCCATGTAGATCACAACCCAATAACCCACCTGGAAAGTGACCCAAAGGGTGTAGATGCCAGCAGCCCTATAGGTCAGCATAGGAGTCTTGTTCCAGATGTCAGACAGATGTTTATTCCCCATAAGCAAGTCAAGGAGTGGACCAGTCAGAGAGCACTGGTACTGGTCACAGGACATTATGAAGTAATACACAATCAGTGGTGCAAACATGAGCAGGAAAAGGATGCTTGCCAAGGAAAACCAGTCCACCTCCCTGTAATCCAAAACAGAGCAATTGTTCTTCCCCAGCTTCCAGTTAGACAAGGGGTTATGTCAGACCATTTTTTCAGTGGACCTTCTAGACTAACTGGATGAAAACTGAAAATGCTTTCAAGGCACATACATTTCTTTGGGTCAAACAGCTATAACAACTCAGCACAGTGCATACCACAAACTGTTACAAAATTGTGCTAGGTGATCAGAGCAACAGACTAGATAGTATTTCCCCTCCAAGAAACATGTTATTGGTATAGATTTCATGATTTTGATTGCAATCATGGCCAGTTGGAAGTGATAACAATGCCAAGAGCATTATGCAAAGCTTGGAAACATGGAAAAGGAAGACTTTAGATGGCTGTTAGTTGAGCTCCCTGCACCACACACTGCCAGCAGTGCCAAGCCACAGACACCCAGGCCTGTTTCCAGCTGCAATGCAATACCCTACCAATACCTGCCCAACCCTTTGAGAGCAGGCATGAGTCATAAACCTTGCTATAGCAGGAGATCTCAGCTGGGAATACCACACACACACCAGGATGCCCGTTTTCCAGATCTCAGGAAATATTTTGTTCCTTGAAGGAACTACAAATTTTACCAATTCTTATGATTTGCTTTCCTTTTTTTGCCAGGAGGACTCTGTTTTAACCCAAGCCATGTGGCAACTGTGTCTTAAAACTCTTGAGGAACTCTTCTTCAGCATCTGTTGCTACAGCAAATTATCCATGAGCTTTCCAGGGCAGCAATATAACAATCTGTTCCTAACAGTTAAGTTTAAAAGCAATGTAAATCTATAAGAGTAATTATGAACCAACTGGAAATACAAGGACTAATTAGGGTCATCAGCTTCTCTCACCATGCTCTTCCCCACTGGGCTTGAGATGTTTGAGTACCATTTTGGGTGTTTTTGTGTTTTCTTTCTTGAGCAAGTTTTTTCTCCTGATGGGCTGCCATGGTGTCCTGTATGAAAGAAAATATTCATCATATTACTCCAGCTGTTTGTCAGAAATTCCTATGGCTCCACAAGAGGAACACAAAAGTTATTAAAAACTGTTCTATAGCCTTTTGGTTACATGACATTTGGGGGTGGAGGGGAAAAAATCCTTACCAGTTCCTTATGAACTTAGCAAAACACAATCAAAACACTGATGTCAAAATGATCCATTAAACTTCATGCTATGTGCAAATTTCTCTTAAGATGTATTATATAATATATGGCTTACTACTTACACATGAGATGCAGAAAGAAAAACAAATGTTTTGCCACATTCTTACAAACCTCTGAAAATAAAGTTCCCTAACTAACTGCCTTTCTTAATTAGAGAAATTTCTGCTATTGTCACATTATTGTACTGGACCTTGGCATTTACACACTTTTGCCCAGACTCCTTATTCCATACACGTTAGCTGCACCAAAGCAAACAAGGTATAATACCAGCTAAGTCAAAAGTCAGTGGGAATGGAGAAGGACTTATTAAACACCTTACTCTCTTTGTGGAACATGCATTGCATCTTCCTTTTGCTTTGCTCAAACACTCCTTGTGTTAAAGCTCACTATCCTATAATCTGACCTATGGACTGACACAGATTGCTGTCACTCCTCGTCGTGAACCTGGCGACCCATTACCTGGACTGTTAGTTGAACCTGGCATGAGCTCTGCATCGCCCTGCTCACCTCGCACAGGTGTCCCTGTCCCCCCGAGCTCCCAGCCCCAGGCCCCTTAGGGACCACCTGGCTCCCACAGCATCCCGACAAGGGAAGAGGCTGCCGAGGCATCAAAGGAAGAAAAGCTCGGACAGGGATAACACGCTGGGAGCATCTGCAGAGATCTCCCCCACACCGCGCATTTCAATAAAAACGCTTATTTTCAGAACTAATCTAAGAAGACGGTTAATCACGCCCGTTTGCCCGCCCGCTTGGCTCCCTCCCTGCCCCACGCGGCTCTCCAGGCGGAGCACACGCACCCACGAGC